CAGGTCTCTCCGTCAGCTACCGCTATGCACTACACCCTGGAACAGCGCTGATAAGTGTGCCTTTTAACCCTTTCGGCCCTGGCGGTGGCAATTGCCACCACCAAATTCAAACGCTTGCATTTCCGCTGAAACAGCATGGTTTTTCTAATCCTGCTAGAGTTGCTTCAGTCAACCTTCCCCTTCCTAATTATGAGCTTAACCGGCCATTTCATTGTTTATTGCTGTTAGTATTGCAAGTATTTGTGTACAAGTGCAACAGTGAATGGGCGCTGACCCCCGCAACCGGCCAAAGCGTAAGTAACTTCAGGATAGATAACCCACTCATAGAGGAAACACCAACCGCCAGTAAGTGTGACTTCTGTCTGAGATACTTGAAAGATGAGATGCGCATCGGCTAAATACAACTATGGTAATAATAAATATTAGTGCATGAATCCATAAACTTTTTCGGCAGGCAAACATGAACCTTGTCGGAATGAAGTTCGACATGGGAGCTGGTAAAAAACCGGAGAAGGTTTGGGGCCCAAGATTTTCAAATGCGGGTGCTGCGATTTTCATCGTGTTCGTTGTTTTCGCGATCGAATAGCTTCCAGAATTTCGCTCATTAGGAGTGATTACTGCGGATATAATGCTCTAAACCAAGTAATAAACAATAGCTAGCAGAAAAAGTTTCGCGGCACACGGGGGAATAAACTTCAAAGGTCCAAAAGAAAGGGTTACCAGGAGATTCCAGTCACACAAGAGTGAATAACGAAGGTCCAGAAGGGGAAATGAGGCTAAGTGAAGAGCCAATGTGCGGACGCACAGAGGGTTACCGGGCCAAAGTAACGCAGTTCGCTTGAATATGCCCCTCGAGCGCCTAACTTAACCACGGCCTTTAGTTGGTGCTATTGGCCGGAACGCCCAAACCAGCTATCTAATCACTCACGCCGGCGAGAGGTCTTGTAGCGGCGAGTGACTAGAAAGCAGGGACACAGCTTTACCGTCGAAGAGGGCACAACACTGAGAGTCGGATCAATGAGATAATCAACGAGCGAGGAAGGTCGCATTTTTCTCGTATGGGCCGTTTCTTATGGTTCTTCTTTCACATATCACTGCTACCAACTAGACCCACACGCTCTTACACTTATTTTCAAGGAAGTTACAGGTTTTTAAACATACTTGAAAATCCTTTCAATATTGACTACGTGAAGTGGTTCGCCATACGATGCAACCCATCAAAGACCTCATGATATATGCAGAGCACAGAACTAATTTCCTTATGTTAATCTTAGCATGAGTGTGAGGTTATGCATGATGAGAAATTGCCTTATATATAACCCACCACCTAATGAGTTAAGTCGTGGAGGAAGAGACAAGAAACACAAGACCCGTTAAAAGACTGATGCAGGCGCCAACTACTCTAAATGGTAAAATTGTGAGCGAAAAGATCCCAGTGAGATAAGACTAAAGCGCGAATAAAGAAAGACAAAGTTAAACGCACTAACAATTTAGGAGTGACAACGAGAAAGTGCTAAGCGATGCGTAAAGACAGTAAATTGAAACCTGGAGTGGTTTAAATAAAGATAACGGCCATTAAGCAGCGAACATGGATCACCGCAAAACTTATGTCCGAAGGAGGGCCCATTGGTCGAGCTCAATTACTTATTTTACGGTTTGCGTCTTGAATGAATTTTTGGCGGCGAAGTCCGTTCCTCCACGTGATGCCACTTTGTTGGGAGCTGAGCCCGATCGCGGACATTCGAATGCAGGCGGAAACCCTTGTGACAGACCGGCCTACAAACAACCACGTCACATCAGCAATGTCAATGTCGTCAATGAATCTTAAGATAATGCTACGGCTTCCGCGGGAACCGACGCGCACTCGCAAAGCCCGAGCGTGACAAAATACGCGAGGCTTCGGTGAGGAAAGGGGGGACGGCACCAGGGCGACTGGCTATCAGAAAACCCCTGCAACGTATACGATGACGCCGCGAGCTGCAACAATAAAAATGTTGGCCGCGCTGACGCCCTCTGCAGAAGCTGGTGCGAAGCTAGGAGGGAAACGCAGATCAGAACTTTTTACCGTTTACTGTTGGCTCGTGCAGTGGGGAAACGAGGTGGTCCTCCTCCATATCAAAGGACCTGCCGCTGTTTCAAAACCGTTCTTTGTGGCAGTCCCAGACTGGCAGAATGTCGGTGTGGTCGTCTCTGAACGTTTCCGTGACTCGATTGTCAGCGTCGAACGTTACGATGACCGCTTAATGAAGATCGTTGTCGCTTTTGAGCAACGTCAATACCACTTCTTCTCTGCGTACGCTCCGCAGACAGGCTGCTCCGAACACGCCAAGGACCAGTTCTGGGCCTTGCTGGATGACAAAACAGCTGATGTACCATCGCAGGATGCCCTAATTGTTGCCGGTGACCTAAATGGTCACGTGGGGGCTACGAAAGATGGTTACAGCTGTCATGGCGGATTTGGGTATGGGTCACGAAACGCCGATGGCGAGCGAATTCTTGAGTATGCAAACTCGCACAATCTCACCATCGTGAACACAAACTATCGCAAACGTGACTCCCACCTCATCACGTTCTACAGTGGGGATACCAGAACGCAAATTGACTTTTTCCTCATCAGGCAGCGTGATCGACAGTGCCATGAGAGACAGTCGCCACTCAACATCGACCGCTGATCGGCAAACTGAGGATCACACCTCCGAAAGTAGGAGTCTGTCCTGTTCTCTCGCATTCGGTTATTGACAGTACGACTGTCGACGAAACGTGGGAAAGTGCCACCGAAGCGATAGTCCGTGTTGCTCGCTCCGAGCTTGGCATTACAAAGCCTGGGCGGCGGAAAATCGACAAGCAGACATGGCTGTGGACCGACACTGTCAAGAAAAAGTACGAGAGAAGAAAAGATCTATCATACGTTTCAACGACAAAACAGCCGAGAACTGGGAGAACTACCAGAAGGCGAAGAAGGCTGCAAAGAAAGCCGTGGCTATCGTCAAAGCTGCTCACTTCGCCAGCGTTAGCGAGAAACTCGAGACGCGCGATGGCGAACGATATGTCTACAGACTAGCCAAAGCTCGCCATCGCCAAACCGAGGATGTCGAGAAGTTTTTCGGCATTAATGACGAGAACGGGCGGCTCCTAATGGACCGCAAGAGGGCAGTAAAGCGATGGCACGACTACTTCGAGAAAATCTCGACAGTAGAATTCTCACATCCGCCAATCCCTTCTGCTCCTCCGTCTACGGCCCTGTCTCGAAGATAACTGTGGAAGAAACTGAAGCGGCGCTGAAGAAGATGAAGACAGGTAAAGCAACGGGTCCCGACGACTTGGCAGCCGATCTGTGGAAGTCACAGTGCTGGAATCCTGCAGAGTGGTTGACGAAGTTCTTCAACCAAGTCGTTGCAGAAAAGAAAGTGCCTGAGAGTTGGCAACAGAGCACGACGATTCCCATCTGGAAGAAGAAGGGCAGTCCTGCAGACTGCACGAGCTACCGTCCAATTCGTCTGCTCTCCCACAGCATGAAGATATTTGAGCGAATTGTAGATCGTCGTATTCGTGACATAGTGCAGCTCACCACGAACCAGTGTGGATTTGTAAGCGGCTGCAGCACCATCGATGCCATACATGCCGCTCGCCTTCTGCTAGAAAAACACCGCGAGAAACAAAGCCCTGCATTTTGCCTTCCTAGACCGGAAAAGGCTTTCGATCGCGTTCCGCGTGACTGTAATATGGTACGCTTCGAGACAACGTGGCGTCCCCGAAGAACTTATTAAAGGAATCTTCCACGGAAAAGCTCCGCCCTCATTACCACAGAAAACGATACCTTAAAGGAATCTTCCACGGAAAGAGTGATCATTTTGTCTTGTGTGTAGGATTAGTATTATCGAAACTAACGCTTATGTTCCGTTCTTTTTGCTATGCTCATGAGGCTAGGGGCCTAAGGTATCGTTTTTCTGTGGTAATGGAGGCGGAGCTTTTTCCGTGGAAGATTCCTTTAAGTGGGCTCGCATGCTGTACTCGAGCCCAGAGAGCCGAGTGTAAACGTCAGCAATCATCTCAATGGAATTCCCCATCTCTGTCGGGGCTCTGCACTATCCCCACTCCTTTTCGTTGTCGTCATGGATGCCATCTCACGAGATCTTCAGAAACCGGCTCCATGGACGCTTCTCTATGCCGATGACGTGATGCTCGCCTGCGAAGACAAAAACTCACTCGAGCAGCAAGTGCAAGCTTGGGCCGATCGCCTAGCGATGTTCGGACTCAGGTTGAATGTCAAAAAGACCGAGTACTTGACAACCGACTTGAGCGAACACAGTTCTGTAAGAATAAAGGGCACAGAGCTATCATGTCATTTGATGGTAGTATTGGTAGTATATGTACTGAAGTGAATTGAGTGCTGCGTGGTCTAAGTGGCGTTCTATGACGGGTGTTCTCTGCGACAAGAAAGATTCCAGAACGCCTGAAATCGAAGATCTATAGGAACCGTCATAAGACCAGGTGGCAATGTACGGCGCTGAGTGCTGGCCCACGACTAAGGAAATGAAGCCCGCCTCGGTGTAATGGAGACGAAGATGCTGCGCTGGACGGCTGGTGTCACGCGATTAGATCGCATTTGTAATGATACCATACGCGCTTTGGTGTAGCTCCTATTGCTGATAAAATGCGCGAAGCTCGTCTTCGATGGTATGGTCACGTGCTTCGCGGAAATGATGACAACGTGATGACAAGTGTAAGATGGGCCTCAACATGGACGTGCCCGGAAAGCGGCCTAAGGGACGCCCAAAGCAGCGCTGGCTTGATACATTGCATATGGACTTAAAGTTAGCTGGTATCCATCCCGATCAGGCATTCAATCGGGAAAAGTGGCGTCAACACATAGAAAAGCGGACCCTGCTATCAAGCGGGACAAACGCTAAAGAAGAAGAAAAGAAGAAGGAGCTTTTGAATGAATTTTGAAAGCCTGGAAAATGTAGTGTTGTCATCATTTCAGGTAATTGTTTTACCGTAACGACGTGAAATGTCAACGTCATAGGAAGGAATGGAGTCAACTGAGCTTGAAAGTACCTCTTGAAAGCTCTGCCAAGTGATGTTATCAACGCATAGACAATCCAGTATTCCATCCAGAATCTAGCGCCTTCCAGGTGTCCATCATCAAGAACCACAATGGTACATACTGCAGGGAATCCCAACACCTTGAATGTATCGAGAAAAATTTAAGAGTTGAATTCAGAAAAATTTAACTATACACGGAGAAAGAAAATCAGGTCAATGGGACCAGGCTTATAAAGTTTGGTTCCAGTATGTCCACTGAGCAATTTGCTTTGTTACGTGACTCATTTGCGCAGTTATTGTACGAGCGGCACTATAGGGGTTACATGGAAGGTCGATCCACAGTAAAACCAATTCCTTCTGCCATTCTATTAGAATATTCGAAACTGTGATTCAAAATATTTCCTTGAGTTTCACAAGTATGTACCTGTTTTGAAACCGATCCACCTACTGAGCTTATCGCTCCACTACACTGGTTGTTATATGATGGTCTTTCGGCAATGATGACATGGTAGTCAAAAATAAATAACGCACATGATACCTTTGCGGAAACAATAAAAAGCTAGAAATGGCCACTAATGAAAGAGTTCTTGTCATAATCCCAGAGCCTAAAGCACATCACGGTGCTTTGAGAGCATTGGATACTCAAACTGCCTAGACCTGATGTGTACATTGACTAAAGTTTAAAACTCGTTTTAATTCAGATTGTTTGAAGTCACCGAAAAGGTGGACAGTGTAAGACAAGCTGAATGATGAAAACAAGGATGTAGTGAGGCATGTTACCATATGAAAGAATGTGAATAGAAATGCTCAAGCATGAAGCGTAGGTGCCAAGAATCAATCGAGGGAGAATATAAAAGAAACGGCGGGGTGAAACACGCAGTACTTGCGTTTTTAAGAAGGGCGTGGCATTGCAAAAGAGTGGAAGGCGTGAATGCATAGCAATCCCGAAAATCTCCGGAACGGTGAACAATGCAACATCCCGATCTCATTGTTCACCGCTTTCATCTCATATCTCATAAATAGCCACATTCTTTTTACGGACCACTACTGAATGTATGACAACGAGCGGATTTTGACGAAGAATAGCAAGGAAAACAACGAAGCATATTCCATAGAATAAGTGTTCTCTTCGAATTCCTGCTATCCGCTCCAGCTCTTTCCACCTGAAAAGACCTTGGCTAAAATTTTAACGGATCTCTACATAGGTTTGTCACAAAACAGTCCTGTGGAATTGATATTTGCAGAACCAGATACAAAATAATGCTCACGTTCTGTAGTGTTCGCTTCGACGGTCATATAAGAAATTGCAAACGACAATATTAATTTTTTCCCATGTGACATCATTCCAGCTGTTGATGAGGCGTACTTTTACTTGCTCTTGAGCTACAATGTATTACAGCATTCATTTACACGCACTCCACCATCTTTTGAAGGCACGAGTCGGGATTGAAATGATGCGTTATTATGTTTGAAAATTAGTCGAGGAATGCAATTAGGAACATTAATGGAGAAAGAAAGCAAATAGCACTATATAATATACTACAGAGTGGGCCAAAATTATGATAACAGTGCGTGCGCGCGCTCATGTCCACTTTTTTAAAAGTCGCTCAATTTTATCTCCTTTTCTGGGCATAGTGTCTTCTTTTTATTAAAATCAAATATCATGCAGTTCTCAAAACTAGTGAAATAACTACATCACTTACGTCAGTCCTCAAATTGAACTCACTAGGGCTCTGGCACGTTACATCTAGCGGCAGTCTAACGTATCAGGGAAGCTCTTATGGGCAACAGTTCAACTCTTCAATAAGTTTGGAACCACCACAGATGGAAAATTCGGAGACTCGAAAGTTACAGTTACCACCAGGACAATTATCAGATGCAGAAACTAGCTCCCCTTGTCGACTTTCGTACACCCAAAATGAAAAAATTGATGTGAAAACCCAGCCAGACACTCTAAAGACTCCACATCTGTAGTGGATAGAAAGCCACTCGAGTAGTCTACTTGGGACTTTTTACAGGACCGAGCACTCAAGAATAAGGCAAAATTTCGGTAGGGATTTTTCGAGATCATCGCTTGTTACACAGGAACCTCTACCTAATACATATCTCTAGGTTCCCTGTACGGTATATCCTCGAGGCAAGTGCAAACGAAACCGTGAAGAATTTGGATCCACTGAAGAGTACTCAGTAGAAAGCTCGAAAACATTCTGGGACGCCTTGAGTTGCGTGCCACCGCACGCGCCATCCCCTTTCATCTGAAGGCTCGTGTAAACGGGGCAGGTGGCAGATCTCAATTCTATTCTGGAATTACTTTGAGATAAGAGTTACAAATACTTCCCTGAAGTTGGTTTGTTCCATCAAGCTACTACTGCGTTTGTGACGAGATCATGTCCTTGTCCTCATAATTTTGAGCCACCCTGTAAATTTCCCTAATGCGGGCAACCGTGGTATGACGAAGAGACACAGCGCTGCGAGGAGAGGGAGAACGCGAGATAGTACGTCGTACGCGAGAGGCGCAGAGACCACGTATGCCGTGGTTGATAAGGATGGCAGCACGGCAGCACACAAGGCAAGGCCTTAGCGCCGTTGCCTCGCACTTTTGAGTCGCGACAGTGTCGTGCCTCCTGCCCTTAGGGACCCTCTTTCTCGCTCTAGGAGGGAATGGCTTGGGACCTAGTACCGACTCGTGGCTTGATTAGAGTGAATGTCAGGGCGCTATTGCTATATACGGAGGCATCCTCGAGAACTAAGCCCAATAGGGGCAGGAGCTCCGAGGAAAGTGAAAGTGACTCGCACACCCTGGAGGCTTCCCGCCCCCGCCTACGGCCTAGTACCGTTTTGATAACAAAGACATAGTACATGTTTTACGCGGTGTTAAATGCATTGTCATCATAATGCCCGTATATTGCGCCAATATAAACTTTCTCTTAACATTCTCTAAGTCAGGTGTGGAACAGATTTGTGACAAGCAGTGGTATTATCTCCGTGTACAAGAATGCAACCAGTCTAGTCAGGGACGCATGAGCTTTGTGGTTTGTTATGTCACATCTCCAGGCCATTCTTGCTTGCGTACTTTCAATTTCGTGACAAGAAGCCGACATTCAACATTTTCCTATTGTTATTTCAGGTGGTGTCTAGTTTGCGCCACTTCTTTGAATCCCACACAAGCACTTTATTGAGCCGTTTAGCCATTCATGCAGCCATGTTAACTTGAAGGAATCTTCCGCGGAAAAAGCATCTGTGGTTACTTATAAACCAATCATGCCCGTTCCAACTATTTTCTTCAAGTGAAAAATTAAAAAAGGAAGTGTCATAATTGCCAGGCTTCGATTTACGAAGTTCCACCAAGTTACAGACCGATGAAGGCCAGACGCATCAGTTGCGTTGCGATATATCTTCCTACTCCCCCCAAATATCAGAATGAGCAGTCTGATTCATTCAGGAAATCACGGCCTAAAAGAAAACCTTGCTCTAGGATGCCATCGGTGAGATATGAATACCACCTGCGCTCCTTCGTTAAAGTCAAGCCCTACCAGTCAACCTGCTTCATGGTCACCACACAGGATGCCTCAATTACGCAATTCATAGTTTCCGCCTTGTGAAGAAGTGTTGAAGATTGGCTTAACGCTTCCTTGGCCCAGACGTGATAAAAGCGCAATACATTGGAGTATTCTCAACGTATGGGCTGTGAGAAGTAAGGTTATTACGGCAGATAAATGTTGACAGCACGTACTTGCAAGCACAACAAGAGCAAGTGGCTGGATCGATTGGAAAGGCTTGGAAATTTAACAAGTCCAGCAAACAGTTATACTATCCGTTCGGTGGGTGAATCAACGGCTAACGCTGACGGAAAAACAGCTGCAACCATCCTTAAAACGAAGCAACGCGAGATTCTGAAGCTTAGTTGAGAAATCAGATCATTAGATCAACCATACAGCGTTCTCCATAACATTGCCTAATGGAAAGGACTCGAGGGAAATGGCAGTTGCTCACGCGCCTGAAGTATCTCCTTTCCTGTTCATGGCTTACCATTGGCCCCATTTCTAGTAAAAAGAAGATCAATCACGTTGTTTTAAAGCATTGCAACCATAATGCCTCCGTATCTTGCGATATCGCCTCGACGTTGCGATGTCGCCTCGATGTTGTAAGATATGGGTCTGAAGGAAGTGAAATTGAGATTGCGAATGATTTTTGCTCCCTACATTGAGAAGTAGTCGGAACCATATATCAACTCTATGATATGTCTTCAATAAAGTATCCTTTATTCTGGTTTACTGAGAAATTGGCTCTGGCAGCAGTCGTAGCAAGATATTTTGAACTTTTTGCTTGTTTCTGACTGCTGACGGTCTTCCTTTCAGATAAAAATTGTTTGCGAACTTTGAGAAATAATTGTGCAGTAACGTCAAGAAAAGATTTACTTGAATCGGACGTTGAGGATATTGCAGCACGAAGTCTTTCCATAAATGATGGTGTCCTTTCCACTGGTGAGTCCGCAGAATACTGAAAATACTTCAATGGATTGAAATGGAATTTGTTCTAGGTACCAAAAAAGTGTTTTGAGGCACAATGAATGTGCACTCGTTCTAGTCTGCAAATTCTTGATTGTTTAACAGACTGGAGACACCTCATGCATTACACCAGGGAAAGCCATACAGGCAGCGGTCATGATGACTAGAGGCGTTTGGAATTGGACAGGTCATCAGAGGAGAGGCGTTGAGCTGCAGTCCAACCACACGAGGATTCCGCAGGCCGCGGATTTACTGCTACCGTGACCCACGTTTGTATTGGAGCACGTTGTTGTACCAGAGTAAGGGTGACAACGTCTTCCAAGCCAGGTAAGCATCAGTCCGCTCATTCTTGTTTCATTGAGAGGCGTTTAGAATTGGACAGGTCATCAGAGGAGAGGCGTTGAGCTGCAGTCCAACCACACGAGTAAGATTCCGCAGGCCGCGGATTTACTGCTACCGTGACCCACGTTTGTATTGGAGCACGTTGTTGTACCAGAGTAAGGGTGACAACGTCTTCCAAGCCAGGTAAGCATCAGTCGCTCATTCTTGTTTCATTCGCTTCGTAATTTGTATCAGTTTAGCTCTGAGCACATCACATGGTGAGGATCGATGAGATTGGAGAACCTGCAGGATTTTAGGTCTCGTGGGTGAGAACAGTAATATGTTCCGTAATATGCGTTGGATAAGTCCAATTCCGTTGAAGATTGTCGCGTAATGCGCGCAGTAGCATGCGGAATGAAATGGTACTTATCATGACTTCGTAAACATTTAGCATTGATATCGAGCTCGGATGATTTAGCGGTTTATAGAATTTCCACAATTGAAGATCGGTGTGGGAGTGAAATATGACCAATCGAATCAACCAAGCTTTGATGGAATTCGCCATTGGCTCGAGTCCAGATCTCTGAGTGGCTTCTTCGCTTTTATTGATGAAAGCTTAAGCATGGGACATGTTCACTCGCTCATGAGGTGGTTTAGATCGAGGAGTGAACTCAGATGTCGTTACATTTATCAGTACGAATTTCGCTTATTGCCACTTCCCGTCACAACACCAAGCCACCGTGGTCGTTTGCCAGTGGTCATGGTACCGGAGTTGGGGACATTTGCTTTCATGCGGCCCCTTATTATTCCTTCTCATTTGGTGGTATTCACTCTTCGGACGCCTCTTGTCAGTTCCTGTTAGTGGCTATCAGGGTGAATAACGGTCGAGGAATTCCTCGACCATGGCTCTCTACCGTGCGAGAGTAGTGTCGAGAGTGAATGAATGCGGAGAGCACAGACGGCTCGCGGGTGGCGAGAGTGAGCATCCGCGTGGGAGAGCGTGAAAGAATCCTCGACGAGCCGTTGTCTTTTCCTCAAGCGATTTTCACTCTGGTAGCTACCACATTCTTCCACTCAACTTCTTGGTCCCCGGCTCATCTCACGTAAGGCTGCTTTCATAGTTCGCATCGGTGCGGTCGGTGCCGACGGTGCCGACGGCGCCGACGGCGCCGACCGCACCGACAGTGTGAAGAGCGTCAACACGCGCTCTGGCGCATGACGCGTGCGCTGGGCGCAGATGGGGCGCTCCGGTCGATAATCTTGGTTTTGGTGTATTTCTTGTATTTTTTCGATGTTTTTTGCACTCACTTCATATGAATAAACAAAATTGCTTACGACCAACACACCCGGTATGGCCACATCCACCCGGAGTTGTGCGACGGGTTCACGACGTCGCTCGCCCGCGGAACAACTGGAAAGTATTAATCAAGACATAAAAGGGCGCAATGTGGCTCGGAGGGGGGGCAGCCGCCGCGCGGGGCGTTGCGGCAACAGGAAATTCGCAAGCCAGGGGGAGTGTAGCCAATTCAGGGGGGGGGGTGAGGGCAGTCACTTAGCATGCGTGAGAAGCTGAAATGTCCCGTGAAAAGCTGGAATGTTCGAGTTACACTACATCGCTGAGCCGCGCACCGACTTCTCCCCCCCCCCCGAGCCACATTGCGCCATTTAAAAAGAAAGGTGCTAACTTAGTTGGGGGGGCCACGCGGCGGCGCGGCAGTCTGCTCACCTGGGCTCTCTCGAGCGAGACAGTGTAAACTCGAACATTCCAGCTTTTCACGCATGTCAAGTGACTGCCCCCACCCCCCACCCCCTAGACTGCTACACTCCCCCTGGCCCACGGATTTCCGAACATGCCAGGCGAGCAGACTGCCGCGCCGCCGCGTGGCCCCCCCCAACTAAGTTAGCACCAATTAAGTATGAACAGGAAACACACGAATTAAAGCAACACGGCGCGAAAAAAAAAATCGAAAAGCACAAGAAATACACCAAAACCAACGCCATCGATCGGAGCGCCCCATCTGCGCCCAGCGCACGCGTCATGCGCCAGAGCGCATATTGACGCTCTTCACACTGTCAGTGCGGTCGGCGCCGTCGGCGCTGGCACCAACCCCACCGATGCGAAGTATGAAAGCAGCCTAACATACGTTAGTGCAGACATGTTACTGTATCTGCGATTGGCGTAACTAAAAAAACTAAAATGACATCAACATTCCGACGTCCGCTATCAGCTCCTCGGTAGTTATCGCTTCCGGCCACCCATCATCAATGTTCCCACAGCCCCTTATATACTAGAAAGTTTTGAGCGCTTCCGGAAGGACTGAACTTAAACTTTGAAGCGGAGAACCTTCACGGATAAAATCATGACCTCATTCATGCCATAAATCACTGGCTTGACCCCTTTCTCATAACCATTTAGGTTTATTTAGTTCTTATTCGCATGTAAACATATTCTTTCCTCAAGGTTTAAGGTAGATTCTATGTATATCTACACTTGCAACAACGTTTTCTGCAAAGTGAAGAACTTCATTGCGAGTCTATCCTTGCTTGACCGAAGACTAATTAAAGGTTCCTTCACGGGAAAATTCAATTTTTCTATTTTAGCTACAAGTCACTGGCTTGATACGTTTGGAAAAATCGAGCGATTCGCTAGCGAATCGCTGGATTCGCAATCTGTGACGTCGGTCTCGAGACGCGCAACTAACTGGGCCCACTCTGGGATGCGCCGTGTGCTTCACATCCCTTCAGATTCGAGGACTCACTTGAAAGATAAAATATCCTTGGAAAACGTGCGAATTTCGGATTCTTTAACCTTGTGTCGTGATAAATCACTGAAGTAACTAAGAATTACTACGCGGACCCCTCGAATCACGAAAATTTTATGTGGGTGAAATATCATTTTCATTGGAAATCCTCTGGCCTGGCTTGCATCGACTCGATCCTCCTTGATGTTTGTCCTCCGACGGTGATGATCCCACTGCATCAAACCGGCCCGATCTCTTCCACCCAGCGGCCAATACGACCCCTCGTGGACCAGGGTGTCAAGGATTCTTCAACGCACGCTTGACCCTCATTTCAAGCAGTTTGTCGCACATATCCTAAAGTTTGCAAGCCTTGCTAGAGCCACCACAATGCGATGTTACCATCAAAAATTCTCCTTTGTCGAAGGCAATCTCTACGATAGTTTAATGAGTTTGATGGGGTTCAATATAGTATTGCAAGTGCAATGTTGCTCGACCTGAGTGACGTTCCCTTTTACTCTGCTGAAATAAAAACAATTGATTTCGAAACTCACTTTCATCTGCACTGGACGTAAAACGTTTTTCTTTGCCATACTTTCGTGGCAAAGAAAGGACGAGAACGCAACCGATCGGTTGAGAAAGCACAATGCAAATACCCGGAAGAATCATCCTATCGTTACTCTATCATAAATCACTAGCTTGGTGTTTCTGTTTTTATGTACTTCGACCGGCCTGCTAATCTGTTGCTGCTCGCAAAATTTTCTGTAGGCTTATTAAGGGAAGTAATAGAAAAAACTCATGGTTAAGAAAACTGAGGAGTCCCCTTTCTGCCTTCGGACTTCGGTGACTTCGTGATGAGAGGCACTGCTATACGAAATACTCACCGCGCCCACTCTCAGCCACTCGACTGCTGGTTGGCAAAGGCAAAGGGCTCCATGAAAGGATTTACGCTATCGGTGCATTGAAAACAAAGCGAACTCCGATCAAAAGTATGTTTGTCCGAGCTATGTGCTGAAGGAAGTCTCATAGTTTCAAAAGGGATTCCGGTGAAGGGAATGTGGATCTAGTGGCCTGGTAGACGCGATGTATCTGATAACAGTTGGCACGGCACCGGAGGAATAGTTAATTTGAAAACGGCGTGCTATTTTTGCATTTGGTAGTGGCAACTCACAATCAGTATGAGTGGCAAGTGGTACTATCTCTAAGTAAGACTCCATATTCGGGGTAATAAGTAACTTCATGGTGAGTTTTCTCCGTTGATGGAGGAACCATGTAGCAGCGCCGAAATGGTGTTAAAAAAGTGCCAACTTTGTGATTTAAGCAATGGTCCAAACCCAAGACCGATGTTCTGGGAATGATTGACTCACTTCGAAAATCGGACCGACAATATGAAGACAACCGATAATTGTTCTCCTAAGGGCAGAGCAGGGCATATCTTCAGAGCGGAAAATTAGATATAAAAGCACCAAACTTTTGAGGTTTGCCCGGTTCATACTTTTATTTTATTTTATTGGAGACGTAAACAGAAGTAACGTGAGAAAAATTCAAAGATAAAATCATTAAGCTCGTGACAGACACCCAGTGCGTAGTATGCAAAAAGTAGATAAAAGCAAACTTAAGCAGTGCTGCAAAGAATAAGAAGCAAACACAAACAAACAGAACTGATCAGAAACCAAGCAGTTAATACAAGAACACACCGCGATACCCCTGAGTAGGGAAACTAATCTTCAGGAATAAGCCTTTTGAAAGAGCCACTGACAGATTCAAAACGTCTTAGGCAGAACAATTTATTGAAACTGGGAATGGATCTTACGGCGAAGCTCTTGAACCTGTCCTGAGCCTTAGTAACTGGCATGCTGAGTTGACGACTTCTCCTCATGTGTTTGATCGAGCTACATCAAAGAAGTTGACGGCACAGATTTTTTATCCGTCAAAATTTGGAAAACCATTAACCTATCTCTGAACAATCGCCTAGATGATAGACTTTTCAGCCCCAACAATTTTCTTCTGTCAATTCCATTTGGGATGAACTGATGACTCCACTGCAACACATGATAAGTTTCCGAGTGAAATTTATTTTGAACACTCTCAAACAAAGCGATATCTTTCTTCTCATGTGGGGAAAACACTATAGTGCCACTCTCAAGGATAGGGCGAACATACGTCTTATATGCTCGGAGAAAGGTGCGTGAATATTTAGAACCGAGAGCTTTGAATATATTAAGTTCTATGATTTGCCTTAGAGATTAGCGATTTATAGTGGTCATCAAAACAGAGATTATCATTAAAAAAACCAAGGTCCCGTACCTTATTAACCCTAGTTATTTCATTTCCATTGATTCTGTATACCGCAGCAGGTACTACAGAAGGTTTACCAATCTGGAGGAACAGTGGGGGCTTCCAGCAAGGGACAGATCTCACCTCTGAGACCATTCTACCATATAATTAATAGCTGATTGTAGAGCAACACTATCTTCAGCGGATTCTATTGTTTTATATATCTTTATGCTGACATTTCACTCCAAGATTGGATAAAGCCTTCGGCAGATCGAATCTATATACAAGGAAGAGCAGAGGGAAGAGTACCCCACCCTGCGGTACCCCACTAAAAGTTTGAAAGACCGAGGTGAAGTCGTTACCAATCCGAACCTCGGTACTGACGATGCTGTCAGAAAATGCTGGATCCACTGAACAACTCTGGGGTGGATACCAACCGCCCGAAGTTTGCCGACAAGTTTCTGAATGGGCACTTTGTCAAAAGCCTTCTTGAAATCAAAGTAGATGATATGAACCTGCTTTTTAAGCTCAATAGCTTTTGTCCAATCGCTGAGGAATACGAGTAGTGCCGTTTCCCTTCCCTTCCCTTTTCTCCCAGACCTTCCACGACAAAAACCGTGTTGCTCAGAGGGTATTATGTTATTATGCTCCAGATGCTTCACAATATGTTTCCTAAGAATTTTTTCAAACACCTTCGCAAAAACTGAAGTGATGCTTATGGGACGGTAGTTTCCTGGGTCTGAAAAGGGCGCTTTCTTAGGTATGGAGGTTACAAAAGACATTTTCCAGCGACTAGGAGCTTCCGATTTGATAAAACACTGATTGAAGAGGTACTCCAACGGATATGCTATGACGGGTAAAATTCTCTTGATAAAACTAAGAGGGATGAAGTTTGGTGAGAGCGATTTAGAACTAGGCCACCTGCTGAGTATGTCAACAATCTCATCCTTATAAAACCATACCGTGGACTCCATAGTGGGGAAAAGTGGTGTAGGGTTCTCAAAAACAGAAGGACATACGGTTGAGAAAATTTTTTTGGAAATGTTGCCCTACAAGTTCGGCTTTATCCCTGTCACTGAACAACATGTTGCCATTGTCTGCAATTAAAGCTGGAATAACCGTTTTGTCTTTAATACGGGAGCTTATAAATGTGAATAGCTTAGAAGGACTTTTGGTATCCACAATCTTCTTCTTGAGAAAGACATGGTACCTGTTGACACATCCTTCTACTACTGCATTATATTTTATAAAAACACTCGATTCATTGCCGAGGCCATTAGATATGGCAAAACTCCACAAGGTATTACGGCGTCGAATCATCCTTCTATCATAACTAGGTGACCTCACGAAGGTACTATGTCCAATCTTCCTAATTGGCACGAAACGGTCAATGGTATCATGGGTAATATGGATGAAAAGTCCATACATCTCGTTTACTGTGGAGACAGTAGCAAAGCAGCCCAGCAGATCTACAGTGAGCAGGTAATTCTCAATGGCAGCGTAATCTGCAGCTTGAAAAACACGCTCCCAAGAAACCTTGGGAGCCAGCTTTTTTGACGTTAACCATGAATTCAAGAGCGCAGTGGTCACTACCACCCAATGGAGCAGTGACAGTTATATTAGTGACGAGTCCTGGAACATTACAAAAAATGAGGTTTAAGAAAGATCTATCCCTTGTTGGAGATAGGAATAACTGATCAAAATTGTGACATTTGAACATGTCACAGAAATCCTGAGACACTGTTCCAACTTGTCTTTCACTGCCCCACTCAGCATTCGCGAGATTGGAAATCACCCAGTACAATGCATGGCTTATCTAGCGATGAATAATCACTGATAGCTCTACTGAGTTGAGTAGAATTTGCTGCATTACAAGATGGTAAACCAGAACGAACCTGACAATATTATCGAAAAAAGAGATGTCATTGATCAAGAATTCGTACGCATTGCTAACAGACTCGTGGAAGACAGTTTCACAGGAAAAAGTGTTTTTAAGAAGCAGACGACTCCACCCCCAGTTTTATGGACTCTATCACATCTAAAAACATCGTAAAAAGAATTCTCAAAACCAAGAACAGGAGTGATTTCATTTTTCGAGCTCAACCAGGACTCAGTTAAAAATACTAGGTCATAGTTTTTGAGCGAGAGAGCGAGAAAAACAGAATCAGCATTTTTTACTAACGATCTGACATTGGCTAGCATCCCGAAGACTAGTTTGGGATCCTTAGACATTTTCTGAGATTTTAGGGGTTTCCGGTAGCTGTGAGGAAGTTTAAGAAGCAACGCTATTAGACACATGTGAATCCTTTTGAGAACCAATACGGCGATTCAACCACTCCTCTCGTCTGCGCTTTCTCTCTTCTAGTGTAAGTAACTTCCTTTTGGAATCCACTGGTAGGCAAAACTACCTTGAGAAGTCTGGGCCGGTGGCCATCTTTTCTACCTATCCTATACACGGGAGTAGGTACACACTCAATGCTCAAAAAAACCAATAACGATTTGGTACAATACAAATCGTGTTTGACAGCATCGAATGAACTAGCAGATCCTCTTTCGATCACGCCAGAAATTACTATGGACCGTTCCAAGTTAATATCACTGGAAATTTCATTATTCGTGCTAACCGGAGGGTGAGATACTTGAAAACCGAGGTTTGAAACAGCAGAAGTACAATTTTGTGACTTTTCCGCAGTCAACTCCTCAATTCTTGATTTTAAAACCGAATTTTCTTCTATTCTCTTCAAGGATATCTTCGCATCTCTTGCCGATGTTCTGCAGTTCGCGCCTCGTATCGATAATGACCTCGATGACCATTCGCATATAAGTGGGCATGTCTTGATCCAAGTTCCGAAGTTTGTCGAAGGCTCCACCAAATGATTGAAGCGATACATTGAGGCGTGACCGTTTGACTGGAACAGATGAGGACCGAGACGGGGATGTATTCATGACGTGAAAAGCTGTGTTGAAATTGGACGATCTATTCAAAAAGGCAAGCGACCTGACGATATGACCTATCGATTTCCGAGCAAAACGCAAGAAAAATTACCGAAGAAGGTGGCGAAAGCCGTTAATAACTCAATTTTCTTTCACCTTTCGCCACTGAGGTGGACGCAATGGGTAACTGGTAAGTACAGCAGCCGATCAGAAACAGGTAGCAACAAATATTAGTAATGAAAAGACGGAATAGCAGCACTCAGGATACCCGCCGCGCGCGGTCGATGCAGGTCACCAATCACCAGGCCATACTTCCTGCGTTCTTTCAAGCCGACCTAGCTACCAACAATAGGCCCAGCCAGAGGCAGGGCCGAAAGTTCAACCTCAAACCAATTGACGGCAGGAGGACCTAGCGACCTAGTCATTGTGCTTGGTCCCTGAGCCATCATCGGTTTGGGTGTCTGCCATTGTTCGTTATAGATCAGCATTTCTCTTTTCTTGAGAAAGATTTCAGATGAAGAGAAGATCGCTTTCAATCGCCTACTGTTGATTCTGACGGCTATAGATTTCCTCTAGTTCAATTGTTCGCAATTGGGTCAAAATCTTCTTCTTTAAAACTTCGGTTCAGAGGGCCATTCAGTGCCCTGATTACGGTTATAAAGTTTTTTTTTGGCGCAGCCGTCATCTGGAGCCGCTATGACGCCATTCGATACCACACTGGTGCCGTTTTGATGTTACGACTTCCATCGCCAGTATTTTGCTTGAAAGCTACTTTTAGGGGTCTCAGTAGAATGTTGAAGTTTGTCAAGGAATCGAACCACGGATCACGCCATCACCGCTTTTTTGGAATTCATTAGACCGTTTAGGAAAAACGGACCGCTGCTCTCTGGTTCCCGCATGTGTATGTAAAGCAAGAAAGCGTTGTGAAAAAAGCTCGGCACCTCCTGAAAGAACTTC